AGTGAATTATATTAAGCAAATGGTATTATGTCCAAATGGCCCTTGGCAGACAAGGTTCCCAATCCCTGCAATAACTTAAAAATTAACTTTGTTGCCAAAACCAGTTTTGCTCAGTGGATAGAGCATTAGTCTGTGGACTGAGGGGTCCCGGGTTCAATTCCGGTCAAGGGTGTGTACCTTGGTTGTGGGCACATCCCTGGTGTGGGGTGTGCAGGAGGCAGCTGATCGATGTTTCTCTCTCATCGATGTTTTTAACTCTCTGTCTCTCTCTTCCTCTCTGTAAAATATCAATAAAAAATATATATTTTAAAAGTTTTGTTAACTAAGTTGCAAACTTTTTTAAACTTTGCTTCAAAACTTTTTTTTTTTTTTTGTTAACCCTCACCCGAGGATATTTTTTCCCATTGCTTTTTAGAGGCGGGAGGTGTAAAAGATAAACATCTATGTGAGACATATTGATTAGTTGTCTCCTACATATGTACCAACTGGGCCAGGGAACAAACCTGCAACCAGGCACATGCCCTTGACCAGGAATTGAACCCAGAATCCTTGGGTGCAAAGGCCTGATGCTTTACCACTGAGCAATACAGCCAGGGCTCAAAACAACTTTAACCCTCCTAAGGACTATGACTCTACCCTATCAGACACTGGAACGATTTAAGAGAATTTGACATTGTGCTCTAGCCAGTGTTCTCAGTGGTTAGAGCATTGGCCCAAATACCAAAGGGTTATGGGTTTGATTCCTGATCAAGGGCATGTACCTGGGTTGCAGGTTTGGGTGTGTATGGAAGGCAACTAATCAATATGTTTCTCTCACATAGATGTTTCTCTCTACCTCCCCCACTTCCACTCTCTAAAAAAAACAATGGAAAAAATATCCTCAGGTGAGGATTAACAAAATAAGGCACTGCTCTTCTATGCTGATTATAGGACTGCAGTGCCCCCTAGTGTCAACTACACGGCAATTGAAGATGACAGGTTAATTTCTTTTTAAATATATTTTATTTTTAAAATATATTTTAAATATATATATTTTTAAATATATATATTAAAATATATTTTATTGATTTTTTACAGAGAGGAAGGGAGAGACATAGCTAGAAATGTCGTTGAGAGAGAAACATAACGCTGCCTCTTGCACACCTCCTACCGGGGATGTGCCCGCAACCAACGTACATGCCCCTGACCGGAATCGAACCTGGGACCTTTCAGTCCGCAGACCGACGCTCTACCACTGAGCCAAGCCGGTTTCGGCTACATGGCAAATATTGAATAACAACCGCCCCCCCCTCCCCCCCCACACACACTCAATTTAGAATGACAGGCTTAATTAGCACTGTAGTGTTGTGGAAAGAATTTGGGCTTTGGAGCTTCACGTTATCATCTGAACTGATAAAATACCTAAGTTACGAACACAGTAACTTTGTTCATCTTGCAGTCCTATTTTGGAAGTTTTGTCTAATCTCTCTGATGCAAATTAATTACATTAATATCGTTTTTAAGTTTGATTTTTTTCCAACTGAATAATCTCTCTTTAAAACAAAATGCACTTGGGGAACAGGAGGCTTTCCAAAGAATTTCTCTCCTAGTAGAATATTAGTCTTCACACATGTGTGAAAGTTCTTGCCATTTTTATGTGTAATCCAATGAATACATATATTTTTGGGATAGAAATAGTCTGTTAGCTTATAAACTTTCCTTTAGCTGACCTAGCACACTTCCAAACCAAAAAGAGAGTCATACTTGGCAGTATTTGTTTGCTCATAGTGTTTATAGTTTATACATCACTGATCCAAAATATACTCATGAGCAAAGATGTACGCACAGCCCTAAGCTCTTAGGAAAACAGAATCACTGGGATTTGCAAAGTGATATTAGAGGAAAGCAGTTGGTTGATTTTACCAACACTTTCTATTAGAAGTGTGGTCATGTTTTAAGAGCTTATAAGCATATTAAAGACATACCTGGGACATATCTCTTCTGACCACAAGCAACTGACTATTTGAGATGGGTTATACTGCTTTATGATCTAGGAGACTTTCCTTACTTTGTGCAATCAGTAACTCTTTTTTAATTTAATTTTGCAATCAGTAACTTTAATTTTTAACCTAGACTTGCATTTCTGCCCACCCTGAGGACAGCAGTGTGGCTACATTTGGCTTCTGTGTTGATGCGCCTGAGCCCCGGACCAGTGTCCGGACACTGTGAGGAGCTCTCTTCCCCTGAATTAGCAGCGGTATCCCTGTCAGCACAAAGTCAAGCTTTGCAGGAGTTAACCTGTTTGAAGCTAACATCTGAGACAAGCTTTAACAGAACAACCAAATCTGGTTAATCCAAATCACTTTGCAAACTCCATTTTTATTTGGATTAAAAAGCTTTAGATGAACAAATATATGATACATACATGTTATAAGTCTAGTTACCACGTAAAACTCTTTTGATACAGATATTAGAATAAACCAAGTTTTGATATAGAAATTAGAATAACCAAGTTTAAATCAAGTCTGAAAATGTTCAATTTCAAAAGTCAACACCACCAATTTGCAAGTTTTTCACAGAGAAGCATCTCCTCTCAATTCTTCCTCATAGGAAGACCAGAGTGGCTTCAAAAACAAAACAATTAAAGGTCTTTTAAATCAGTTGGCTGACATATTATTTTAAACCTACAGGTTTCCTCCACACACATAAACAAAATTTTTTCCCACATGAGCTTATATTTTGAAAATACATAGGCCATTATGCTTTCTAAGCCGTATCACTACAATTCCTAAATCTTGTGGATAAAGGGTGTATAGTTAACTTGTACTTTTTTAAATGAGCAAAGAAATTTTTTTTTGAAGATCGCTGACCTCAAATCTTATTTCCTAAATATTAACTGATATTCTCCAAGTTAATATACAGAAAGACATGATTCTAAAATAAATTATTTTTTGTAAAGAAAAACTTAATTAGAGCCTGCCTAGTGGCCCCCTGGCCTGACTCTGCACTGCCTGAGGGACGCTCCTGGCCAGGTCTATGGTTCCGATAGCACCTCTGGACACTGCGAAAGAGTCCGGAGGAGGAGTGCTCTGGCTTCTAATGCCCCATGTAGCCCACAGAAAAGTTTTTAGAGGCTTCCCAAGAAGTCTCATTCAGACCTTAAAAAGGGAAAAAAAAAATGGACACAAGAAATAAATAAATAACTTAACCAAAATTAAATTTCAGGTTCTTTGGTGTAATTCAAGGATGTCTAGAAATAAAATAATCTGATTGTATTATACAGTCCATGATGATTCAATGGCCCAAATAACCAGGAACTGAAGATTTCTTTATCTGATTCAGTTTAACAATAGGTACTGATATATTATTGCAATACATTTTTTTAAAAATTCAGAATTATTTAAAATACTTGATGCAAACTGAGATCCAGTGGTTGACTACAGGCAATTAAGTTACAAGGGCCTTCTATGGAGATAACAAGAGACTTTTATCCATTCTACACACTTTTGTCTCCATGATTTAATAAGAATGGTAATGAAATATCCAGGTACTGAGTCATTCCAGACTAAAAGAAAAAGTATCCTCTGAAAGTCACTCTTTCAACTTACAAACAGCAGTGGAAGGTCAACCACAATGGCAACCACTTTGCTACAATAAAGCAGGTTTCCAAAAATCCTAGAAACACTGTTCCATATTTGCTGCTTCCTACCTGTCTGAGCATCATACACTGCGTCCAAATGTTTAGTTTAGGGTCATATAAGAGACAGGGTCATCAAACCCAAGTGTTTAGGGTCTGTAATAGTCTTTTTCATGAGTATTTTATTAAATTATGATGCCTTTCTCTTGAAATTTAAAGGCACAAGCTGAATTTTAAATATTTTAGGAAGTTTTAAATTTCTGGTTGAAAATTACAATGAAGAAATTTAGAAGAAAAAAAAGAAAGCCACATCTGACTAGGGAACAAAGAATACTAAAACATTTGCATATGCAGGCAGTCTACAAATTTACAATTAGGCTTCTGATGCAGCTCATATCTAGTGATGCACTCCCTCTGTTAGTTTAGGTATTATGCTGAAAAATAAATCACCTCCACTGATGCCTCAATGCTTTCTTTAAGACAAACTTCCAATTTTTTTTCAATGTAAGAGATTTAAAATTTTAAATCATCTAACACGTATAGGCATTAATTGCGAATTATTATATATCAAAAGTACCTTTAAACTTACCTGCCAAGACTAAATATAATTCAGGATTGTGCACATATTCTACAAAAATAACTGACACCACAGACATCTAACTCAGCACAAGAAGTGCTCTCCCCACTGGGAGCCGCACCAGCTGCAGAAAGACGCACAGCACTGACTTCAGATTTCTGCAGTGAGCCTCTGAGTTAACAGAGCGAATGTGCCATGTCTGCCAAACACATATAACCTAAACAACAACCTTTCACTTCACCTGTAACACACTTTTTGTGAAAGTGGCTTAAGATATTCAGGCACATGAAACACACAAATATACTCCCTTCTCTAAGATGTAAACTAGGACCAACTTCACATTTCATTGTCAACTTAAACTAATCTGTAAACTCGTGTGTGTGTGTGTGTGTGTGTGTGTGTGTGTATTTTTTTCACTGTTTGTTCTTTTATAAAAACAAAAACCAAAAAACCCTAACCCAAGACAAAACCTTTGATGGTTTCAGTTCCATGGCAACAAGTAAAAAGATGAAACTCCAAGTCTACACATAGACAACCAATTATGAAACTGGTTTTAAACGAAGGAAACGTATGCAAAAAATCTTTGTGTATTTGATAAAGTCAACTTAATATAACAAAAACAAATTGAAATAGCTTATTAAAAGTGTCCTTATATAAAAATGGTCTTGTGATGTACAGTAAAATGCAATAAAAATTATCATCCTTTGCTCCTCCCCCCCACCCCCTTTAACTATGTGGCTACTATTCCACAAAACTCTTACAGAAGCAAAACTCTATGCTTCTATAAAAGAAACATAATAGATGTGATTAAAGGTTTTCTATATTGTAAGCTTGGCGAATGTTGAGGGTGTCTCGGAGCATCAGGTCCCGGAGGCGCCAGAGGGCGTCTGCCATGGTGGTGTGAGCCCCTTTACTTTTCAGCCAGTGAGAGGGCAGGCGGCTCTCTTGTTCTTTTGACAAATGGACATCACGCCTTCGAGCTAAAAATTAAAGTGTAGACAGAGGAATATAAATAGGAATTTTAAGGTAACAAATTTTCCCTCAGTCCTAAGGTTTGGTAGATTAGAACATAAAAACATAATGATTTATTAAATATTACAAATGTTAACTCTGCAGAATAATTCCAAACAAATTTCTTATATAATGTTATTAGACATCTTGGTTTTTAGAAAACTACTTCACTTAAGCAAGAAACTACCTAACTGGGAATGTGTTGCTTTATGCTTTGTATTTTAGAAATTACCTAATTTATAATAATGACTTCACCAAAGAGCTGTACAAACACCTAAAAGATTAGGTTATTAATATTTTGTTGTAGCCACTCCTGATAATAAATAATTGCTTCCATGTGAAGAGAAACTCCTAAAAAAGTAAATGTGAAGAAAGGGAAAACATACCTACTACTTTTATAAAAGAAACCAAATTATCAAATTTGGTTTAGAAATAAAGAATGAATAGAAACTTCAAACTTCAAGAGACTAGGCAAGTTATTTTAGTTTGTACTGAATAAGTCTGTTGAACTAAATGACTAACTTGATAGATTAACAGAAACATATTTTCTAATGTATTTTTCCCTTTTAAAAATTGAGGTGAGCCGAGACTGGTTTGGCTCAGTGGATAGAGCATCAGCCTGCGGACTGAAAGGTCCCAGGTTCGATTCCAGTCAAGGGCATGTACCAGGGTTGCGGGCACATCCCCAGTAGGAGGTGTGCAGGAGGCAGCTGATCGATGTCTCTCTCTCATCGATGTTTCTAATTCTCTATCCCTCTCCTTTCTTCTCTGTAAAAAAATTAATAAAATATATTAAAAAAAAAAAATTGAGGTGAGCCCTGGTTGGTGCTGTTCAGTTGTTGGAACATTGGCCTGTGCACTGAAGGGCTTTGGGTTCAATTCCTAGTCAAGGACAGGTACTTGGATTGTAGGTTTGATCCCTAGATGTGTGCCAGAGGCAACCAATCTACCATGTCTGCCTGTCTGTGTGTCTCCCTCCCTCCCTCTCCCCCTCCCTCCCTCCCCCTCCCCCCTTTCTCTCTCTCTCTCTCTCTCTCTCTCTCTCTCTCTCTCTCTCTCTCTCTCTCCCCCCCCCCCCCCTATCCCTCCTTTCCACTCTCTAAAAATCAATGGGAATAAGTATCCTCAGGTGAGGTTTAACCACAAAAAAAAAATTGAGGTGAAATAACTTTAATTTATTCAAATATATCTATATTTAATGTCCAAATGCCTAAAATAGTAATTTAAAAAATTCAGAATATACTTAAAATGATGGTGATATTTATGATAAAATTAAGCTTCAAGATTCAGAAAAAAATTTTTTTTTTTCAAATTGTGATGTTAATATACAAAGAAGCTTCAAACCTTTGTATTAAATATACCATTTATTTCACTTGTGTAAGAAAATGGGTATTTGCCCTGGGTTATAATACGGCAATAGCAGCAAGAGGACCTGAACAAAGCGTGGATTTCATACTTAGTGAGAAGGACTCTTCTTACCTGCCAGGGTCTGGTCCCACTTGCTAATGCTGTTGGAGTCCGCACTGAGTCCTTCGATGTATTTCAGGTAGGCCTCTGAGTGGAGAAGCCGTTGGGTCTTGGGTGGAGGAGCCACAAACATGGGCGTTGTTGGCTGCTGTATAACAGGGGGGCCGGCCGGGTGTGGGCCAGGATACGGAGGTGGTGCCTGCTGTCCTGGAGGCCCCAAAACTCCTACCTGAAAGAGCACAAACCACATAGTGAGGGGAAAAAGTACTTAGTACATGTTTTATGAAAGAAAATAATGTGAACTCTGTCAAGTCCTAGAAAATCCAACCGGGAGACTTACCTGCTGTCCATATGGACTTGCGCCTGGTGCTGGAGTCCCTACCATAGGGGCCACCCCTTGGTTCATTACACCTGTAATTCAGAATGCAGTGTCTCAATTAGAGGCTCTGGTGGACAAGACTGAAAAACTGATAAGAAATTATGCCATTTATAATGCAAGCCTATGGATCTCTCTGCAGTTGAGTCTTTGTGGATAGGAACCCTATGCACCCAACACAGGATGTAGCATTCAAACAGAAATTCCTATTGTTTTTGTTTCCTAGGTATTTGACAATGCTAGTTCAACTTGTCAGATGTATTAATTATTCATGGCTTAGAAATTATTTGAACCCTGCAAAAATTCTAGTATTTCCCTAGGTAAGCTATACTCAGAATACACTTATATTTTTAAGGTATTTTTCTTCTGACAACACATTCTCCTGAAGCCTGTGTTTAAGGTCAGCAGTAATGGCATTCAATCAGGCTCAGCAGTATGCAGTGTGGTAGGATATAAGGACACAGGCTGTGCAAGTGCATAGTTAAATGAACTCTGTGGAGGTTGGAGGCACATCCTTGCAGTCCCCTCCCAGGCCACCAGCACCTCTAGTTCTGACTGGAGTTACTAATGTTGGCTGAGAGAGGACACTTCCATCTGATAGACAGCATTTTGAAAAGGGCTATCACTTCAAATGCAAAATGAAGGAAAAGGGAAAGATATGGTCCTATAATATTTGACTATGTATCTGATAATAATTTTGTAAATTACTTTTGGTGACTCCTCATAAATAATTTCTGTCTCACAGGTACTAACTGATAATAATGAGATGTCCTAAATTTAGTATTAGGGTTATTTTAATAATCTCAGGACCATTCATTTACTGTTCTCAAAACAAAGAGATACAAGAAAACCCATTTATTAAAAATTACAAAAGAAATCCTGGTGAGTTGTTGTTTAAACCTGAAACAAATCCTACTGGCTGCATAAAAGGCTCAAGAGGAGCTAACTTTATATTCTATATAGTTCCTTTGGATTCAAAATGTTAATATTTTGACCAGGCAGAACCAGCCCAATATTCTAAGGTTCAGAACTACTAAATGCTACTTCCAGGAGGTATGAGACATTTGTTAGACAGAAAATAATAAATAAAAATAAGCTTTCTGTTTACAAAGCAGGAATTTTTACATTTCAAGTACTCAGAAGGGTAGGTACACCTGGATCACCATGATAGGATCCTAATGATTATTCAGGAATGAATAAAGAGGTTGTCGTGGGTAAGCTGCAACATATTAATGACCCCTACCCCTGCCTCCCAGACACTCACCAGACTTAAGATTCCACAATACAGTGGGCCTCCCTGAGCTGCCGGTATCAAACTTTGTAGAGCAGCACAAACTAATCAGCAGACCCCTCTCCTTCCTCTATTTACAAATGCCACGCTAGGGAGCAGCAGGTGAGAATGTGGGCCAAATCCCCAGAGGAGTTCACCGAATTCTCCTCTCAAAGCTTGATCAGAAATGTGTGGATGTAGGCACTAAGAGTGTTTCTTCCCTGTCTTCCTGTCTACATCAGGTGTGTTGTTCCTTTCAAACACAATTTTAAATCTGAAGAGGAAAAGGCAAATAGCAGTGCCCCAACACCCATCAAAGATATCTGCTACCTACACAGTTCTGGCCTTAGAACTGTTTCCCACTGAGTCTTAGAAGTCAGCTCTAACCTGGTCTACTGACTCAGTGAGCTACTCTTTGCCAAGATGAGAAGGCACTGAATTAAGGCCAATTCTATTTGCCACATGGGCACATCCATTTTATGACTGACTTCTGTTTCAACAGCAACTCACTCACAGGTCACCATCTACATAATGAAGCATGTTCTCCCACAAATATTTCCTGCTTTGGATACATCTGGATCACACACTTTTGTGGAGTTATGACCATTCTGCAGTAACTCTCTAGTAATAAGAGTGTGGCGGGAGGCTCTAGGCCAAGCCACCGTGTTTACTCACCCTGCACATTGCTGGGTGTGCCCTCTGAAGCATCCTTTGGAAATCTTTATAACCCTATGATCGGTAGGTCCAATACTGGTGTAAGCAAATGTAATGTTGTTACATTTTATCATCTGGGCTGAGCCTTTAGCTTTTATTTTGGATAATGGACCAAATGAATTCCAAGTTGTGTTAAAATCACAATCCCTCCAACCGGATTATAGCTAAGGGTCAGTTCTTTTGAATATGATGACAAATAATATGGGAACTTGAGATTTTCCTTTCATAATAAACTTTCAACTTACTAATTAATTATAAAGTTACACTGTAGCTAAAGCTGGATTTCATTTATATGTTTCTATGTAAAATAACTTCTGAGCTTCTGTCCACAGACAAACCAGTGTCTATAGTTAGTAGAGTGGACTATGTTGTTCTTTAACATGTTATGTCATGCTTCTTAGAGAACTCAGATACAGAAAACCAGTTCAGTGCAAATTTGTTCCCTCCCTCCTTTTTGTTCCTGAAAGGACTGACCAAAGGATTTCTGACGAATTCCACATTAGTGACTTCAATTCAGAAGCAAGAGATACAGTAGGGACCCTTTATAAGATCTTGTAAGATAAGAACTGAATCAAAGGAAGTAATGCACTCAGGAGCAAAAAATGCTTTTAGTGATTCTCAACTAGCAATTTGAGAAATTTTATTCATTCATAAAGAGGGCACAACTTTCTAGGCTGTGTCTGAGTTTTTTAGCACGCTAATTTGTGTGTTTTTAGAGTCTGCCTCCTGCCCTGTGTCTGCTAAATCTAGTTTCTGCTGTGTCCTGTGCTGCTGCTAGGAATCCAGTTGCTCTACACACAGGACAGGCCCTGCTGCTGACATCTCTAGGGTTCTCAGTGTGGAAAGGCCTGCTCATAACGGGCAGGGAAGTGCCTCCTAAAACAACTGGTTGAGGGAGGAAAAAGAACATAAAGATGAGATTAATGAGTGAATGAGGATGAAGTTCTTACCCGGTGGTGGGATGCCCGGGAGGCCGGGCACACCTGGCGGAAGATGGTGGGGTGGAGGCCCCCCAGGGTGAAGTGGCTGCATGCTGCCCATGCTAACAAGGCCATCAACTGGGCCCTGCAAAGGTGGAAGGCCTGGCGGATAGCCACCCATCATGCCTTGAAGGACACAATAAATTTCAGACATGCATCATTAACATGCAACATGAGCTAAGTAATAACAAACCTCCCACATGCACTACTAATGAATAAAGCACCCTTAGTATTGCATGATACAACAGCAATTAGTGCAATTATTTTGTTGCAAAAATGAACAAAATAAAAAGTTATAAATATGAAACCCAACATTTCTGGATAAATTAGTACTTAGTATATTATTACTTGTAGTTATTTTTCCTGGGATAAATATACTGCATGTTTTCAGGTAAAAATAAAGAGGAGTTCCAGTAATAGCCTTCCCAAGGTCATGATTATTGCAAGCTATTTAGAGTGACCAGTTCTGCGACTGTGTTTCTAATTGAGCAGTAATAACCCCATCATTCCACTCTGCCCACACTCATATGCCTATCATGGATACACACGAGGGGAAACTGGAATGGAAATGAGGTGCACAGCCCTGATCACAAAGCATGGTTCTCCAGCTTGTGGGAGGATGGCAAGAATTTTTCATCCACTCCTCCTCCCTTCTAGCCTCACCACTGTCGCTAAGAATGGATCATGCTAGAGCTTGACTGACAAACCACTAAGGGCGATCACGATGTCTGACATTTCATCTTTAGATCTCAAACAAGTTAAAATAAAGATCAAAACTAAACCTTCCCCAGTCAACCTGAGCCCAGATCACTCAAAGCCTGCATGCAGACCTTAGGGAGGAATGGCTGGAGAATCAGGCTCTGCTGACATGAGAAAATGCCAATTGTCATCATTGTCTCCACGCTCACAAACGTCCTCACATAAACCTTCATTCAGCAGGGAGCATTTTAAATGTGGTACAGAATTTCTGTGAACACTCTTTTACTCCTTTATTTTCAAAGTGCATTTTCACATGACAAAATATTTCCTGCTGGCTAAGGAAGAGTTTCAAGAAACAAGTATTTTTGGCAAAAGGAGTGAAAGGAAGAAAATTATTTCAAAATGTCAAAGACTCACCTATCAAAAGACCTTTGAAGCCACACATTTTTTTAAAGCAAGAAAAACAACTTGACTTTTCTAGGATTTGAAATGATCACAATGAACAAAACATAATACTTCCCCCAAAATGCAATCACCTTTGGCCACAACTTCTTGCACAAAGGGAGGGTTGAGGGACTGGTGCCAAACCTCATTTTTATAAAGACTCTGTAGAGAGACTCGGGGAAATAGTGAAAAACTCCAGATTCTAAGAATTTTACTCTTTGACTTTCCCTAAAGATTTGAAAGGTATTTATTTATAAAAGTTTAATCTCTTAAAGCTATAAAATTACTGATAATTCTTAGATTCAGCCTGCATCATGAGTTACATCTAAGCTGACTGAAAAACGTAGTTATATGAACCAATAAAACACATTTAAAATAATACTTATATACATGATATAGGATTATGAGTTTTAAAAAATGAGAGTTCAGAGTAAAAACTACTTTGAACAGACACCATCACCTTAAACATGAGGAGATCCAATGTTGCCAAACTGCCTTTTAACACCACCACCAGATATAGCTTTTCGGGAATTTAAGAATGTTAGGAGACTTTGCTTTCAATTACAAAAGCCCATCTGAACGCACCCTTCACGGGCTGAAGTTGAAGAAATTAAGAACTGAGAGACATGACACTTGTCTTCATTAAACTGTACTTTGGCATTTATTATCCCAGTCACATGTGTTCAAATGAGCTTCAATGCTTGTAAGCAAAGCTGGTCTCAGACAGTAACCAGGCTAAGACTTAGGCCCTGTGCAACCTGTAAACTCACGAAAGATCACCCTGAGAGCAGAAGTTCCCACTGTAGACTGGTTCCTGTAGAGAATGCTTGCCCTTCACTCCTATGGCCCACAAGTCTGGGCAGTACACACTCAACAATGGAACAGGGGTTTTCTAAAAAGTGGCCCCATCCTCCTTACCCTCAGAGCT